TCAATTTGTGTAGTTTTCTTGATTTATTCTGCAGATATCGGTAGAATGTAGGTAAAGCTTTGGCGAAATTTGAAGGAGCAACTAATATTCTTCAACCTGGTATTTTTTTTAGATTTTATTTTTCATTTTTTTCGTCTGTTTTTTTGAAATTAAAAAATGTGAGCTGGCTGGAGCCTTCATCCCTTGTCTATTTCTTACACTGGATACCAGCCGATACACCCCCCCACCCCACCCCACTCATAGAGACTGCGTACTACAGTTGATTATAGTTTTCCTGGGTTCCCTGTGGTCATACATTTGTTGTGCATTTAATACATTAACATTAGATATGAATACATTTATACCATGGCCGCAGCAACCAACCTGTTTTGGGGCCAGAATGTCCAAACCAGGGCCGCAATGTTTTCTATTTGCCAGGACCGAATCGTCTAGAAATCGATTACATTACCTACAACTAAATGTCGGATACAGAAAGATATTTTTTTAGTGTGTCTGTCTCTGTGAGTGTCTGTGTGTCAGTTCCATTGATATCTCAAGAATCATTGTTTGGATTTCAATGAAACTTGGTATATAGCTTGTCTGGGCAATGCGCGGAATTGATTAGTTTTTGGTTGATATTCATGCATATTAATGAGCTCATCTGCATAATAATGTGTGAATTTTAAGCTGTTTCAGTTATATCTCAAGAAGCATTAAAACGATTTTTATGTAACTTGGTAAGAATGTTACTCATGATTGGCTGCTGCAATTCATTGTTTTATTTTACATTTTAATTAAAATTTAGCATTTTATATGTATTTTTTTATTATTTTTTTCTGCCCAATTGCATGAATACAACTAATAGGAATCGGTGAGTGGACTAATTTGCATAATGATGCGCATACGTATTCTATTTTTTATGACCAGCAATTTATGATAGTGACAGCCATTTTGTTATTTCCAGTGTGTTGTACAAAAACGAAGCAAACGCCCGGGAGATGACATGTATCAGTTTATATTAAACAAAGGTCTAAGAACTACATGTATGATTTTTGGCTCAACGGACCATTGGTCTGCTGAGCCTATGGGATAGGTTTATGTCCTGCGTCTGTCGTCTGTCTGTCTGTCTGTCTGTCTGTCTGTCTGTCTGCGTGCGTGCGTGCGTGCGTGCATGCGTGGAAGTAGAGCCAGTAGACCAGACATACACAAACAAAGTGGAGCCCTTTGTACAAGTGGAGCCCCAAATTGGTGGCTCCACAATGTTTCATAATTTATATTAA